GTCTTCATTGTGGAGCTCACAGTCCCTTGGGAGGAGGGTATCAATGAGACTTACAAATGAAAGTATAGCTGCACTATGCAGAGTTGGCAGCTGAAACAGAAAATCAGAACTGGAAGGTGATGGTGAGTCCAGTGGATGTGGAGGGGATTTGTAGCCAGTTCCACAATAAGGCTTCTGAAGGAAGTCAGTAACAGAGGCTAGGCCCAGCGGAAAACAATTAAGGAGCTTGCCACTGTCACCGAAAGAATCATTCACTGGCTGTGACTGAATCAAAAGGAGACAGTGTGGGACACCAAATGACCAGTTTAGCTACCATGTGACACACACCCAGGTCTCATCAGCCTGTGGTGGGTCTGTGTCAGCTGAGGGTGACTTGTGATAAAAAGTCGAAACACTCACTGAGGAAATGGTACACAACTGATGATGTCGTTCGGGTGTGAAGATCTGGTTTCAGCTTTTCCTCTTGTTCTTTGATGCTGTGTGAGTTGGAATGTTGTTGTTTTTGTCCGAGAAATGCAGCTAAAAGTCAACTCAACGGGCTGAATGATAAAATACTCATGAAGTGAACTCTCAGAGCAACTCTGGGGTTCCTGTGTTCATGTCCTCATTTATGTGCTTGAGTATGTGTAGTAAAAGAAATCAAACTTTGTTTTTTACTGTATAACATTTTGTGTTATACAGTAAATTACATTTTTATGAATCGGTTTTGTGATTCTGTCTGTGTTGTCTGCATCACGGAAATCATAAGGTCCAATATGGAGAATGAACCAACAGATTTCTTTTTCTTGGTCTCTTCTGATTGTGTGCATAATTTTAATTGCATTAATTTTTCTCTCTGGCTGAGTTTGGATTGTGTCCAAGCCTGGAAGCTTGCAGTGTAATCTCTTTTGGCCTGGATGATATTTGGTCCATTCTGAGGAATTTGGTGATGACCATGTTGACACACTTTCCTTGGGTTGTCAGGAAGTGTGTCCTTCATTACTGTATACAGAACTTTTAGTTCATCTTGTGGTTTCAAGATGAAGCTGGACTGGAAAGTGTTTTCTGCCTTAAAGACCATTGCCCTTTTCCCAGAAACTCCATTAGGAAATCTTGAGATGTAGTTACTGTTGTCATTGATAAGTTCTGTGCCGCAAAGCAGAAGAGCAATTTAGCAGTGTCAGCACCCACTCAGAAGGATCAGGGCCTGCACACTTGCTTAACAGCACATGCATTCCATTATAAGTGCATTGACATGAGGCAGATAGACAAGGCTCCTCGGCCCCGGCCAAATGAAGGTTGTTCCTGATTTGATGACCATAAATTGGAGGACATGCCCCCCATTGAGGTTTATGATAAACTGCTGAAGCATATTTGCCCGTTACACACATAGGACCCCATTTGGCTCAGGGACCCCATCTAGGGGCAATCTTTTGCCACAAGTGAATCATTACACATATATCATTGACAAAGCCAGGGCACGGTTTACAAGTTTTGGGCGTGGTTCACTCACATGGTGCATAAATTGCCTGGAGATGATAGCAGTCTTTCTGATTTTGTCATTTCTTTTCAGATCTTCGAGACTGTCATGTGGTAGTGAGGACAGACAACATGATGATGGTCTTGTAGGTGTAGCACCCCTGTCCAGAGATGTGGAAACTTTAGGTTTAGCCTCTGAATGGAGCACTTTGATTAGTTCGACTCTTTAGTCTGCTACTATGGAAACCATTTTGAGTGCTAGAGCTCCTTGCATTAGATGTCTGCTAGGGTTCTGTCACTTCGGTCTAGTTTATTCATGGTTTTGTGACAGAGCCCTGACACTCCCGTCATGTCGTTGTTTTCATGTGAGTGCACGGCTTCGAGAGTGCTCAAACCGTGCGCTCTCGTCTGTGTGTCCTCTTTCATGTTCCTGTTTAATGGTCGGATCCCGGCACTCATGTCTTGTTGAGCTCCATGTTCTGTCTTGCTGTGGAGCGTGCGGTCTCGAGATTGCTCGGGCCGTACGCTCTGTCCACGTGTGTTGTGTTCTGTTTAGCACATGGTTTGTGATCGGCCGCGTGCTTTCATGTTATGTTTTGTCTCGTGCTGTGTAGCACACAGCTTGTGTTTTCACGGGCTGTGTGCTTTCATGTCATGTTTTGTGTGAACACACGGCTTATGAGTTCTCATCAGCTGCGTGTTCGGGTCTTGTCTTGCACATGGCTGGTGATTTGTTTTGCTGGCCATGTGCTTGTGTTTTTATTTTGTGTGACCACATGGCTTTTTTGTTTGTTTCCGTGTGCCATGTGCTCTAATGTCTATTGTCTAACCCCACCCCTCTTGTTACCTGATTATCAGTTATTTGGCCCCACATTGGCCTCACCTGTCCTTCCTCATTTCCTGCCTGGTTTGGTTCCCTATTTATTCTCCCTCTGTTATCTGTGCTGGTTCGTTTTGTGTTCCCTGTTACTCCTAGTCGGTCAAGTCAAGTGTCTTGTTAGTTTTTTTTTTTTTTATCTTGTTTTGTTTGCTAGTTTTCTTGTTGTTCTAATTTTTGCCCTATCATGGGTCTCTTGTTTTCCAGCCCTGTTGGCTGTTGTTTGGGCTTGTTTTTGCCCAGGTTTTGTGTTGATATTTAATTTTGATATTAAAGACTTTTCGAAATCTCCCTGGCTGTTCTGCGTATGGGTTATGTCTGCAAAAACCTGACAATCTCTATATAGTTTCACGCATTGGCTGTTCAAATCTTGAGTGTAGAGTGTAGTAAAAATCCAGTTCACTGCCCTGTGTGTTCAGTGCTGACATTCCTACAAACATGTACAGTAACGATTTTGGCTTACAACCACTAATGTAGTGATCTGGCTCACAAGACTCCTTCATAATATTGTGGCAGCCAAGTAGTCATTGGCAAACAAATACAATCATGGAAGATTGTTCAATTTATATAAATTAGAGGGTGCTTGTCATCTGACAAGGGCTTGAGAGAAACCAGTAGTTAATGTATTATAAACACAAGTAATAAAAGGGGATTTATTAAAAAGATATGCCAGAGTTGCTAACAACTACTTAATGAATACCATTAAGGAAGTAAAATGCATAAGATTGATAAATGCAAGGAATAGAGTTGGATGTTACTATATCAGTTACATGTTATATTATGGAAAAAATAAATGGTTTCTGTGGATTAATAAAGTGGAGAACCTGAATTAAACAAATAAACAATGATTATTTGTTATTGGCATCAGCTATACTAAATCTAATGCAAATAAGATAATCATATACTGACAATGCACACTAATGCCAAGGTCTCTGGAAAGAGGTTTGGTGAGGATATAATTACATTCTGCTAGGTGACATGATAAGTCAGAGCGGTAATTGTCTTCCACTGGTTTATGTAGAGGCTATTGCTGCACAGCTAATGTTTGTTAATTGCCTTTCTTTAGGTTATGTGGTGAGATGGCTAAGCATGTGTCCTTGGCATTTAAAGATTTACAGGCTTTGTCTATGAGCTCTTGCTGTATGGATTTTGCTTTTAAAGTCCCCCTGTAGTGAAAATCAAGTTTTTTTTGTTGTTTATTTGTCTATGTGGTGTTTTTAATATGCTTTTAGACAAACCATGTGCCAATCTATTAATCAACACCATTGTTGCGTATTTTCTCCTTAAAACTGTAGTTTCCCAAAGGCTGACCCAGAAATATGGTTTGAAACAGCCCTTGGTTTGCTACGTCACAAACCAATAACCAATCACATCAAGGGATCGATTCCTATCACTAGCATGCAAAATATACCAATACCAGCACAAAACCAAAAATAAATCCGAGCAAAAAACCCATGAAGCTGTGGTTCAAAATGAATTTAGAACCGCTATCTTGCATTATATCCCGTGGCAACAGTGTAAAAGTAGCCTGGAGTCAGACGCACCTCTCCCGCAGCTGCGTCTGCACTTTACATGCGTATGATTGCGGGCGCGAATTAACAATCACAAACGGCTGCATTCGAGTCTTCAAGGCATTTTAGGACACTTTCAAGTACTTTTGATGTAACTTTAACGAATGTTACAGTATTCACTGTAGTTGTCCGCTAGTAAAAACATAGTTTTATCAGTCATTATCCGTGTATGCCATTGTTTTGCGGTTACTACAGTTCAGTGGCTCAGGAGGCGCTGGCTGGTGTGTGACTGAGTGGAGGCGAGACAAATTTGCATATTCATAGATCCGCGTATAGTAAATGAGGCAAGGGTGTAGAGTTACATTCAAGCTATTTTAAGGCATGAGAAAATTATTTTCAGAAGAAAAAACATTTAAATGTCATTTTGATGATCAAAGATAAGTTTTAAGGGATAAAATATTTGACTACAGGGGGACTTTAAACGTTTGCGGCCAAGTCTTGGTTATCTTCCCAAAGTTGCTTTAACTCTGCTTTCCTTTCAAGTTGTTGTGCTGCAGTCTTTCCTTCACCCTTTGTGTCGTGGAAGAGCGAGTGATTGCACAAGCTTTGCTCTGTTAGGGTGTTGAATGAAGATTTACAATGACCAATTGTTCATTTGTTTTGGTGGTTGTAACAAAGGGTTTGTGGCTACCAAGCCAAGAATGTTGTATTTTGTGAGAGATACAATTTTAAAGGCCTATGAGATGTGTGAGGTACTTTTGTGTGCACTCTACAAGAGGTTTTGGCTAAAAGAGTGTCTTTGGAAGGTATTTGGGTGACAGCAGGTTAGGCCTCTAAATTATGAACTTTAGCAGGTTTTGTAGTTTTGATATTGACTTGTTTACTCACAGGGTAATAAATTGCTGATCACTTCGTAGTATGGCGTTGTGTTATAGTGTTTGCATAGCATCAGACTGACACAGTGTTGAGTAAACCAACTCAAGGAACCAAAGTTACACACATAAACAATGCTTTCAATTATATTAGGAATTTTATGTATGTCATATTAAGTTGCATATATCAGCTATCCTGCTTTCTACATATTGGTACTTGCCAAAAATACAAAAACAAAACATATGCATTGAGAAATAGCTGTAGCATTTAACTCTACTCACCTTGTAATGTCTTCCATTAACTGGGAGGGGTCCGGTGGATAAAACTTGACAGCAAAATTAAATTGCCAAGAAGATGCTGTAAAAACATACAAAGTGAGAGCAAAAAAACCACAACATGCTTGCAGAGTGGTAGACTGATCAACTGAATTTTTTTTCTCATGGTTGGACAGCATTTAAGTGGTTTTTGCCTGTAGCAAATAAAACCAAAGGTCAGAGCAAGTGAATGTCAGATCAGTACTGAACAAGACAGGGCTGTAAACATAGGCTAATTGTTTGAGTGAATCTGATTTGTGTGATTTTTCTAAATCAAATTTAGAAAGGTCTTAATGTTTGTTATCTTAATTGTTTTGCAGTATTGAAAGTAACTTTAGACTTATGTAAAATCAGTTGGGTTAAATGTATTCTACATATTGGAATAATTAGGCATAATTATTTTAAATTAATGATGTAGACATTTATGTTTTATTGCAAAATGTCTAGGTTACTGTGTTACTAAGTAGGAACGAAGTGCTATATAATGACACAATGGGAACGTATCAGTGGTCACAAGGTCAGGGCTCTGAATAATCACAGCAATTTTTTGGCTGATGGTGCTTATACTTTAGCAGAGACGTAAAGTTAAAAAAGGAGATGCATCATAGAGCCCTTCTAAGAGTGTGTTTAGTGCAATAACCTTACCTACGCTGCAACACAGAGTATAGGCAGCTACGCAGCTTCTCATTCCCACTCAGGAAACTAGGCTTACATTGAGTAGGAACTCAATACTGCATAATCACTCAATGGGAAAGATATAGCCTCACACATTCAAACCATTTGTAGAAGCTTATTCGTAATACAGGTTATAAAATCTGAAGTATGGGGAGAGGACAATATCCACCATACAAATGCCCTGTAAATAGGTACCTCTAGCAAGGGCCCATGTAGATGCCAAAATTCAAGCAGAATGCGTCCGAATATCCAGAGATAAAGGCAATCCAGGCGCCTCATAGACCCCAGCAAAATCACATCCAACAACTAATGCGAAAGTCTCAAGTTTCTTGGCAAAAATGTACCTGTCTGGTCAACATTAGCATAACCTGCCAGAGCTCAGGACAACCCATCTAATAATAAAGGGTCTCATTTTGGGGCCAAACTCCCAGCCTATTAAAGTTCTGACTAGATGTGACAACATGTCCTTCTGATGCAAAATCTCCCACGGTACACTGTCCTGAGAGATATCAAAGTTCAGACTGCCAATACAGAGCCATCTCTGCAACCATCATTGCCATGCTGTGCTCACTGAGAATGCAATGTGCTTCATGGCCTAAGCGCCAAATTCAATGCCCTACAGAACTCATGAATGGCCTCAGAACCCAATCCAGCACCATGACCTCCAGGGTGTGCAGAGCCAATGCTGTGTGACCTGAAGCCACAGTGTGGCAGGCGTAGGTGAAGTCTGTTGCCGCCTTGTTTAGTAATTTTAGCTAAATAGGACCAGGATCTTGAAACCTTATGGTGGAGATCTGGAGAAAAGGGAAACAGCCTTGCAAGGTGTGGTTGCGCTCTGGTTCAGCAGAAAAAAAAATGAATCCAAAAGATTTTCTGGCAATTTGAGATAAACTGGGTATGTAATCATATGTTCCTGTGGCTCAATGGTAGAGCATTGTGTTAGCAGCGCAAAAGGTTGTGGGTTCGACTCCCAGGGAACACACATACTGGTAAAAAAACGTATAGCCTGAATGCACTGTAAGTCACTTTGGATAAAAGCGTCTGCTAAATGCATAAATTAAATTAATCACATTCAGGAAATCTGAGAAAGTTGCAGAAGGAGTAGGGACCCTTCCACTGGGAGGTCCTAGTCACAGCTTTCATTGAGTTGTTCAGACTCCAACACCACAGTAGACATGGCATTTGTTTCTACATCCTCCACCTGAGACAGAAAAGCTGGTCAGAAGATGGAGAAAGCGGTAGCTTCAGGTCCCCCATGTGCTCGCTGATGGGCCATGTGGTGCTAGTAGCTGGGTGGCTAGAGCACACCTGTGATGTAATCAACACATACTCAGTAACTCATACTATGGGCTTCCAGATTCCTCTAAAGTGCCCTCTGCATGATCGACCCCCAAATAGGAGACACATGCTGTATGTCTTTGCTGACGATAAAGTGCATGGATAAGAGAGACATATTCTAAACATAATTTTGCACTCAAGTTGGGAAATTAAATATGCTTACATGTGAGTTGGTAGACAAAACAAGCTTAAACTATCATGCACTGATTAAAAAAATCTGAAATGATGGTGCCAAACATTCACTTTTAAGGGCACTGTGATGCAGCACCTTATGAGCAGTGCTTTAGCACCATCAGCCAATTAATTTAGCATGATTTTATAGGGCTTCAGAGCTTGTGACCACTGTGTTCTCATTGCTTCATTACGTAGCTTTGGGTTCCTACAAAAGGAAATAAAATTAACGAATGCAATTCAATGAATTTCTCTTCCTGTCATTTAAATTCAAGTCCAATATAATTTAAATTAAACTCATAAATTAACACAGAGCCAAGTCATATGGAGCCCCACACATGACATGCAGAAAAAAATTTTTTTTATTGTGTGCACAATATAATAAATTGTTCCCTCGTTTTAATTTCTGCCTCTTCATAATGTGCACCTGCGCTGTGCTGAGTGGCAGCATGTCCAAGTAGCTCTTATCCACTGTGTGCATTTTTGTTTGTGTTTGTGTGCTTTTTCTTTTCTTATGAGTGATGCAGCAGCCAAGACTGGTGTATATGAGGGATCTTTAGGCGCTGAGAAGTTCAAGATGCGGGGCTAAACATTTCATACGGCAGAAGATGGCTTTACCATGGCTGCAGAGCTGGGGCTAAGCTAAAGTAAAAATAGAGAGACAAGAAGTGGAGATACAAGCCATTTCTGCCATCGATACTCATACCTGACTGGTTTTATACAGTATATTGATTGTCTCACAAGGGAAAATAAGATATTAAATCTGTTGCATACAAATGTCAAGGAGTCTTATAGTGCTATAGCCCAACCTCCTTGTGTAAAGAAATTGCCTGCCACAAATTGTACTTTGAGGAAGTGGACATGGGAGGCCAGTGAGTCACTTAAGGACTATTTTGAATGCACTGAATGGAATGTACTGTTGGAGTCAAAGGAAAACAGTAGGGACACTGATTATATACATTTTTGTTGGGACACTGCCAGCAAGGACTGTACGCTGTTTTCCTAACAATAAACCTTGGATCACTAACAACATTAAGGTGCTGCTCAATCAGAAAAAGCAGGCATTTAGAGAAGAAGACAGAGAGAAGAAGTGTGTTCAACATGAGCTGAAGAAGAGCAGCTATAAATCTTCCCACTATTCAATCACCCTCCTTTTAGGAACCACTGTGGATCCTCTACTTCTTGTACTGTTGGCGCAACTACCTATAAACCTGGGTCCCACTCCCTGACCTTTACAGTAGAAGAGGTGAGGTCAGAGCTTGGAAGGATGTGCCCAGGGAAAGCGGTGGGTCCAGATGGTGTGTGTCTGAGATTGCTTAAGGAATGTGCAGCCCAACTAGCCAAACCTCTTCAGAGGATTTTCAATATCAACTAATTTGTGCACACAAAATAATAATTCGTTCCCTTGTTTAACTAAATCTTGCACAACATCATAATTTGTTCCCTCATTTTATTAAATCATGCGCAAGACATTACTAAATCATGGGCATGTTTTAGTTGAATCAAATCTAGCGAGCAAATTATTATATTGTGTGCATGTTTTACTTAAAACGAGGGAATGAGTTAGTAAGTTGTGCGCATGATTTAGTAAAGCGGGGGAGCAAATTAAGTCGTGCACACAATTAACTTTTTTCCCCTGTATGTCATATGCTTTGTACGGGGCTTTGTATATTCTGAATCTTATTTTTTTTTGAAGATTTATTTTAGGCATTTTGCCTTTATTACAACAAGATTGTGTAGAGTAGACAGGAAGTGAACTGGGGGAGAGAGCGGGGGGCAGGATTGGGAAAGGTCCTTGAGTCTGGATTCAAAATTGGGATGCCCACTAGGCAATCGGCCCCTACAGAATTTTGTGGTTAAACATTTTATAAGACAGACCAGTTTACATGACATATCCATTCATATGAGTGATACTCACTTCTCATCTGTTTCTTGATCTCTTTGGACAGGTCCAACCAGTTCTGCAAAACACAACAGAAACAACTAAATCTTAGAGCAAAATGAAGTCCATACTGCCTTATTGTTTAAGAATGTGTTTAAGAATAATTTGGTCTGTTCAAGAATGGTTGGTCTCTGTTTCTCTATATGTCTGAATTGAGAGACAAAATTTGTTGAAGGAGATTAATGCAAATCTCAACATCTGTCTTTCCCACTGTCACTTTAAGTGTAAATGAGATGCTTTGTATTTAGGACATCATGTAAGACCAGAAGAGATCAATGCACATATGTACATCTGCATGATCTTCAGCATAAGTTTGACTGGAACCATAGAAACATATACTAAAAAAAGTGAAAAATCACATCCATACAAGTCTGTATTTTAAACAGAGATCTCACAGAGATCTTAATTATTAACCATTATTCCGAGTCCATCAAGGAGGAATTGTGATCAGGGGCCCGTTTCAGAAAGGAGGTTAAGTGAAAACTCTGAGTATGTAAACCCTGAAATTAAGGAAACTCTGGTTCCCATTCAGTCAGTCACGTTCTACGTTACGTCAGTGACTGACGAATTGGGATCTCGCCCGAGAGCCCAATCACCTTCGAGTGTAAACTAAACAAGCCAATGACAGTTGGCGTGCGTGTTTCGCCACGCGCACCCCGCCCCGCAGCGTGGGTATAAAAGGAGAGCGCGTGCAAACGCACATCAGCTTTTCGCTTCGGAGCCGAGCCTTCTCAGGACGAATCTCCGCGAGTGTTTGGAAGAAACAGCTGGCGTTGGTGTTACGGCGCGTCAGCGGGGGTTGCCATTCAGTGCTGCTCATCTTCGGCGTGCTGCAGCTGCCATTCTGCGGTCTCGCCGCGACCTCCCCTGGGCGCTTCAGCGCTCTCTCTAAAAGAGTGTTTCCTTTTTTTCCTAAAAGAGCAAATGTCTAAAAGAGCTCCACGAGCGACGGGCGTCTTTTTAAAGATGGCTTCCCGCTCGTGCGTTTCTGGATGTGGTCGTTTCCTGCCTCCATCTGATGGTCATGATCGCTGCCTCTCGTGCTTGGGCTTACAGCATGCTGAAGCAGCGCTCATGGATGAGTCATGTTCTCAGTGCGGGAACATGACCATCGCGACGTTGCGGTCTAGATACCTCCTCATTAAACGGGGGGGTATCCCCCTTGCCATGCCCCGCTCTAGCTCCTCTGGTTCTCGGAGGGCTACTTCGGTTCATGGTCAGGGAGACCTGAGGGTTACGGTGAGAGCTTCCCCGTCGAGTACGTCTCCGCGGGCCTCTCATTCCTCGAGCATGTCGCACCACCTGGTGCTTCCGGACGAGCGTGCTGGGTCCTCGGACAGGGCGGGGTCTAGCATCTTGTGCGGGGCACAGGCAGAGGACAGGATGTCGATCGCTGCATCGGAGGGCGAGCCCCGAGACAGTCCAGCTGATTTGGAGACGCTTTGGGGACGCTCAGGTAGACCTGTTTGCCTCCCCGGACACGTCCCATTGCCAGTGGTTTTACTCCCTGGCCGAGGGACCCCTCGGCACGGACGCACTGGCGTGCAGCTGGCCTCGGGGCCTACGCAAATATGCGTTTCCCCCAGTGAGCCTTCTCGCGCAGACACTGTGCAAGGTCAGGGAGGACGAGGAGCAGGTCCTCTTGGTGGCGCCATACTGGCCCAGTCGGACTTGGTTCCCCGAACTGATGCTCCTCGCGACAGCCCCTCCTTGGCGAATTCCTCTGAGGAGGGATCTCCTTTCTCAGAGAGGGGGCACCCTCTGGCACCCGCGTCCAGACTTGTGGAATCTCCACTTATGGTCCCTGGACGGGACGCGGAGGTTCTAGGTGGGCTACCTCCAGCGGTAGTAAACACCATCGCTTCAGCTAGAGCCCCGTCTACCAGACACGCTTACAGGCTGAAGTGGAACCTGTTCGTCGGTTGGTGCTCTTCCCGCCTGGAAGACCCCCGTAGATGCCCGATCGCAGTCGTGCTTTCTTTCCTGCAGGATGGCTTGGAGCGAAGGCTGTCTCCCTCCACCCTGAAAGTGTATGTTGCCGCCATTGCCGCACATCACGATGCAGTAGACGGTAAGTCTCTAGGGAAGCACGACCTGATCATCAGGTTTCTCAGAGGGGCAAGGAGGCTGAATCCTCCGCGCCCTCACCTGTTACCCTCTTGGGATCTCCCCTCGGTCCTCATGGCCCTGAAGGAGGAGCCCTTCGAGCCTCTGCAGTCAGTAGAGCTTAAGGTTTTGTCATTAAAGACAGCGCTCCTCACCGCTTTGGCCTCGGTCAAGAGGGTAGGGGACCTGCAGGCATTCTCGGTTGACGATTCGTGCCTAGAATTCGGGACGGGTAACTCTCACGTTGTCCTGAGACCCCGGCCCGGATATGTGCCCAAAGTTCCCACCACGCCTTTCAGGGATCAGGTGGTGAACTTGCAAGCGCTGCCCCGGGAGGAGGCAGACCCAGCCATCGCTCTGCTCTGTCCCGTTCGCGCTCTGCGCATTTACGTGGACCGTACGCGGAGCTTCAGGACCTCAGACCAGCTCTTTGTCTGCTTTGGAGGTCAGCAGAAGGGAAAGGCTGTCTCCAAACAAAGACTTGCCCACTGGTTAGTGGAGGCTATAGTCTTGGCATACCAGGCCCAACGTTTACCATGCCCCCTCGGAGTGAGAGCTCACTCTACGAGAGGAGTGGCATCTTCTTGGGCATTGGCGCGGGGCGCCTCGATAGCAGACATCTGTAGAGCTGCCGGCTGGGCGACGCCTAACACGTTTGCGAGATTCTATAATCTCCGTGTAGAGCCCGTGTCCTCTCGTGTACTCGCCTCAGGTAGGCAGTAACACCGGACCTGCTCGGTGTCGATCACGCTTGCTGTGCCATTCCCCTCTACGGACCGGATACGTGCGCTCTTGTGCTCCTCATTCAGTTCCCCATGGCGAACCCTGGTGGAGTTCCTCCCGCACCCTCGGCGGTCAGGCGTGGCGGAGTGCCAGACGCCAGGCTCAGCACTCGTGTGCATGCCCAAGGTCAGCCCTTGTGCTGGGCTAGGTGCCCGTGTGTAGTGATTCCCCCTTCGGGTGATCCCACATGTGTATTCTTCCACGGTACGGCTCCCCTCTCGGTGAGCTCGTGTCTTTCCCTGGCAGTCGTTCACTGCCATCTCTGCAGTGTAGTGATCTCACCCCAGGTGGGTTGAGTCTACCGCAGAGACTTCCATATGTAGTACTGCCCTGGGCCAGTCCATATGTGTAATTCCACATGATACCTCCTATGTGCGGGATGTGGCTTCCGTAGCGTCCCAACTGGGTACGCTTTCCCAGTGTTATCCAATGCACCACTGTATGGAACAGCAGTGGCGGACACCTCTGCCTAGCCGCTGTCCTATCTTCCGCCCCAGCTGGTGTGGGGGGACTTGCCGGCTTCCGCAGGGCACTGGAGGGGGTCAGCAATAGTGGCGTTTTCCATACGGATCCCAATTCGTCAGTCACTGGCGTAACTTAGAACGTGACTGACTGAATGGGAACATCTAGGTTACTTGTGTAACCCTCGTTCCCTGAAGGAGGGAACGGAGACGTTACGTTCCGTCGCCACAGTTACTGTACCACCGCTGTACGGCCGGGGCACGTAGTCTCGGCTCCTTCAGCGAAAAACTGATGTGCGTTTGCACGCGCTCTCCTTTTATACCCGCGCTGCGGGGCGGGGTGCGCGTAGAGAAACACGCACGCCAACTGTCATTGGCTTTTTTAGTTTACACTCGAAGGTGATTGGGCTCTCGGGCGAGATCTCAATTCGTCAGTCACTGACGTAACGTCTCCGTTCCCTCCTTCAGGGAACGAGGGTTACACAAGTAACCTAGACGATTTTCCGTTTCAAAATGGGAGATTTGTCAAACCTGGGAAAGCAGGGTAAGTCAAGCCCGTTTCTGAAAGCGAGGTAACCAATACTCAGAGTCAGTTACCATGGTAACTTACTCTGTGAACCTAACCTGGTCGGGAGCAGGTTTTCTTCGGTAAACCCAGAGTTTCTTTTCGTCTCCTCCCCCTTTTTAAAGTGTAAGCAACAGTGTTGGGGGTAACGCATTACAAGTAACGCGAGTTACGTAATCAGATTACTTTTTTCAAGTAACTAGTAAAGTAACGCATTACTTTTTAATTTACAAGAGAATATCTGAGTTACTTTTTCAAATAAGTAACGCAAGTTACTTTTTTTCAATTTAGTGATTGACAGCTCTCCTGTCCCCATGTTGAGAGAAATCAGAAGATGTTACTGTAGTTCTAAAATAAATATGAATATGCATTAATTCATCTCACTCACAAAAAAACAAAATTCAGTATTCCTCAAAATGAATAAAAATAATGCAACTCAGAATATGACACAAACCTGCAATAATTAAATGTTAAACAACACAAATATCCTTTATGTATTTAATCCCATTCTATTAACCAATGTCTTTGCTTCTGTCCTTCGATGATCCAGTTCAATCATACTAATAAGCACAAATTACTCTAGACAACATTTGTGTGTTTTTTTTATTGCTGAAGTGTGTTGAAATGACTTCTGCATTCTACTGTACGGATGTAAATGTACTTTCCCTTCAGCCTGAGTCGCTTCACTTCATTCATTTCACTTTTGGTGTGAAAAGGCTTTTATATTTGCCAAAAATATAACTTTTTTATTTTAAAAACAAACAAGCATGCCCTATCCAGATTTAATAAGTAGCGCAAAAGTAACGTAACGCATTACTTTCCATAAAAAGTAACTAAGTAACGTAATTAGTTACTTTTTTATGGAGTAACGCAATATTGTAATGCGTTACTTTTAAAAGTAACTTTCCCCAACACTGGTAAGCAATGTTTAAATGCCTTATTCATTCATTCACGCTGCAAAATTGCTTTTCTTACTGAGTATTTTTGTCTTATTTCAAGTACAAATATCTAAAAATTCTTAAGTTAAGATGCATTTTCTATAGATGAAAAATGGTCTAAGATATTTAGTCTTCTTTCCTGGGGGATTTTCCTTTTAAGTGCATT